ATCTTTCAAAATCATTCTTTATGTCACTGACAATGTTGGTGGATGTTTATCTCATAAAGTGTTTCGAAGCTATCTCACCGGCTTGTCACAATTCTCATAAATTTCTCTTTATAAACCCATACTCCGTGGCATAGCGTGCAGTATTAAAGTGAGAGTTCATCAAGTATTATAAATCCTTGGCGTCATAGGGTGTGAGGCAAAGGTTTTACTCGAAGACGATGGATGAAGTGCGAGAGATCATCAAATGACCGAGTTGTTTTAATGTTGCTCTCTCTCTCTCTCTCTCTCTATCTATCTCTCTATCTATCTATCTCTCTCACTCTCTTTCTCTCTCGCTCGACCCTACTCCCTCCCCCTCTCTCTCTCTCTCTCTTTCTCTCTCTCTCTCTCTATCTCTCTCACTCTCTTTCTCTCTCTCTCTCGACCCTACTCCCTACCCCTCTCTCTCTCTCTCTCTATCTCTCTCTCTCTCTATCTATCTCCCTCACTCTCTTTCTCTCTCCAACCTACTCCTTCTCTCTCTCTCTCTCTCTACCACTCATCTTCCTCTCTCTTTCTTTCGCGCGCTCTCTCTCTCTCTCTCTCTTTCGTATCCCTTTATGCTATGTGATGGGAGGGTAGCAACTCCATTGAAATCATATCAAAAGTATTAGTATAGTTTATTTCAGGGAACTTGATATGAGTGAAGCAAGTGCATCTTGCATAAACAATTTATTTGTATCATATGATATTATTAAAGAAACAGATCAAATTGATTGACTTCACATGAGAAAGATTCTTGTCAAATTAAATTTCTTGCAATGTGGACACCCAATGAAATTTCAATATTTTGTTGTATACAGAATTATGTAGCTTTCAATCTCTATTTTGTACAATAAGAAATCAAATCATGAACTTAACATTTTAACATGAAATGTCATCTGTACTTGTATTGCATTAATATTCGTCATGTTGTATATACTTCTATTCCGTGTTTGTTTGACAGTATAGTATTAATGACTGCTTTGAGAGAAATAGTTGTTTTTATACGCTCAAGGGAAGGTTACATTTGGGCTATTGCCCTCGGCACGCCTCGGTCAATAGCACAATTCTAACCTTCCCTTGAGCGTATAAAAACAACTATTTCTCGAATATTAAAGCAGTCATTAATACTTTTATATGCCGAAAACAAAAGAGTCAACTTATGACACCACCTTGGCCTTTCTCTAGTTTATCTGCACGGTTGTTTTTTATGAGTGTATCTTTGAGAGTAGACTAGATCTAGATTCTAGTCTAAGCAAGATATTTTTACAATTTTGGGGGTGGGCCGGCCCTGTGGGGAATATGGAGAAGAACCTGCGCTTTCATATGACACCTCACTTATTGAGTATCACCTTCAGGATCACAACATATTATAAAGGTTTGAATCTCGAATTGAAAAAAAAACTTGACCTTTTTTGCATGGTCGCGGAATGCACGTAGACTGCATAGGGACTGCATTGCGTACAATCTCTATGGGAATAATTTTAACACACAACATCGGGTGCGCGATCAGACACCCTGACAACTAGATCTATTTTCGTCTAGAGTCTATACGTCTATGCTTTTTCAGCAACTAAACGAACATGTTTATGGATAATTTCACGTACCCTTTTTGTTGTTCTTGCTGTCAGCGAGTCTTGCATTTGATAAGTTGAAATCTTGGGAGAGATTCTTGAGCCATTTTTGTCTTGTTTGGAATTGTCTTGTCTTGTATGAAAATACCGACCAATTCTTCGCACACGTACGGTATCCTCGATCGCTCAAACCGTTCTTTAACATGTAAACCTATGGGGTAACCATGGAGACTGACCTATTTTCCCGGTAACCATGGTTGTTGGGAATTTTACAGAAATAGTTAAAGTTTATGAATGCAATTTCGACCAATCAGATGGCTGGATTTCTTAAGTGAGGTATATAATACAATATGTTGAATATATATCTGTTAACTATAATTACTATTTTTCCGGTCAAAGGAACATAATAACATTTTATTACGAATGCTAACAGAGGATGTTTGTGGTAATGTGTAATTTGAATAAATTAATTACACTTTATACAAAGAGAAAGAGAGATAATTATATAACAATGTGAATGCAGAAAACAAATGGGAGATTCGGAGGGAAAGAAGAAAGATAAAAAGCGACGCAAAGAGTAAGTGTTGTGTGGACATGAGAGGGAGAAAGAGAGAGAGAGAGAGAGAGGGGGGAGGGGAGGGGAGGGGATTACTAAGAGCCCCTGAATATACTGTACTTGGACCGAGACTACAATAAAGGTGCGTTAAAGCCCAAGTCCAATCCAAAAATAACTTACTTTCAATAGAAGCAGAAAAATTAGACTAACGAATCAAAAAAAGTCTGAGCAAAATCGGATAACTAATAAGAAAGTTATGAATTTGTAATGACATTACAAACTTTGAAAATCACAGGTGAATATGCATGTGACACCTGTTCTTCACATTTTTACATAATAGCAGTGAAGGGATGTTCCTTTGTCTACCACAGCGCAATTGTTGAGGGTAGAATGAGGAACTGTATATGTTGTCCTCTTTCCTTGTCCGTCATGTTCATAGTGAATGGCATGGGTAACGAAGGCTAACACACACACGGCCGGGGGTGATTGTCCTAGAGGGTAATTTACGGCGGGTAATGTTCTCTTGGGGTACTTGACCTAGGTGGTAATTTTCTGGTTGGGGGTAATTATCCGAGGGGAGATTGCTCTCGGGGGGGGGGGGGTTGGCCTTCCTGGGGGGGATTTTCCGGGGGTAATTGTCCAGCTGGTAATTGGCCGGGGGGTATTTTTCCAGGGGGTGTTGTACGGGGCCGCGCATTGCACATGCATGACCACAGATGTCATTGGTCTTTCTTTTCTTTAAATTAAGAAGGAAAAAATCTTGATTTTCTTGTTCTTGCAGACATGTCGGGCTAACTCATAGTAATAAGCGAGTTCGTAATTAGGATTTGCGCACGGGCAGATTAAGGTCATTCGTACCCAAATAAGGAAGTTTACAGATAGCACATGGAACAAATGACCCCAAATATCCACAGATCTTTTACACATGGAGAAGTTCCACTTTGAGCATTTTAGAATAATAACTGCCAAAGTCCTAGATGTGCTTCATGAATACCTTTTGTTTGCCCTCTTGAAAAGAATACTTCCACCTGTGTATATTAGAATTTAACGTTGGTGCATAAATGAATAATGCTACATAACTTTCATGAGCGCATATCCAGTATTCATCTCTGTGGGTTTTACCTTTCTGGTACAAATGACCTTTATCTGCTCATGCTCAGACTGCAACCGTAAACTGGCTTATTGTAAAACGATTGAGACGAATACTCGGATCGTGCTCATGAAAGTTATGTCATCAGTATTCTTTTTATGCACCAACAGTACATTTATCTGATACACAGGTGGAAGTATTCTTCTCAAGAGACAAACAAAAGGTATTCATGAAGCACCTCGATCACTTTGGCAGTGATTATTCTAAAATGCACAGGTGGGGAGTATCCATCGTGTCCAAGATCTGTGGATATTTTAGGGTCATGCGGTCCAGAGCTATTTACGAAATCGCTTATTGTAATCTGTTATTGTAAATTTAAGTTTCGGTTCTTCCCTTTTTCTTTTTTTCTTTCTTTCTCTCTCTCTATCTCTCTCTCTCTCTCTCTCTCGCTTTCTTTTTTCTCCACCCTCTATCTTCTTCACTTTTACATATTTTTTTTCTTTCATCGTTCTCTTTTTCACTTTTTTAGGCTGATTCGGCCCTCACCTGGATCCGCCACCATTTCTAAAGCTAAACAAATAAATTGATAAATTGATTTCTTACATTCCTTTTGATTTTTAAAATCTTTCTTTAAATTTTTGCAGTTTGGGTATTGGTATGCCCTGCGTGCGGTCCGGGCATGCCATTCTGGACTGCAATAGACCCTCTAGAGAAAGGTCACTCAGAGGCGTGAGAATCAGTAGCAATGGGAGAAAAAGACAAGGATGGTAGAGGAAACAAAGAGTTCATCAAATAAGCTGAACTAATAAAACACAAGGATATAAACAAAATTGCTTTACTACTAAAGTGTTTAATTCCTTACCTTTCAAACTTGTACACTTGCAAACCCTTTTCAAACGTAGCTCTCATTAACTGTACACTTAAGCACAAATATATAAGTATCACATATCATTTTATATACAATTGATACAAACTGTACAAATTTAGACATTAGTTATAGTATAGTGTACCGAAGCTGTGACATCATAAAAATCAATTTTTAGAATTTCTCAATTTTTTCTTCATTTTCCGAAAGAGCATAACAAATAATGTGCAAATAACGAAACCAATTAAATAGGTTAAGTATTGGTTGAGATATGACCATCTGAATAAATATATTCCCTATAGGAACTCAGTGTTATTTGCTCTTGCTCGTACTGGTAAGGAGCCAGAGCAAATATCACTGAGTTCCTATAGGGAATATATTTATTCAGATGGTCATATCTCAAACAATACTTAAAGATAAAGGCCAGTTATGGTCATGCGATTGCATTGTGAAAGAAACGTAGTGGAATCGATCAGAAAAGGTTGATCATCTAGCATATAAGTATTGGTGTGAACTGCAAGGTTCTGGAATCATCAAAATGATAAGAAATTTGGCCCAGTCTTGGTAAAGTTACAAGCACTGTACACAGAAAGATGTATATGGGACTACACACACGTGCGCGACACGTACGTTATATCAATCAGGTCCAAATGGAAATAATAATTTACCAAATATATCAATTAGTAGGCGGTTTCTCGGCAAAATTTGTATGATTACGTATTAGTCAAAACATATTCTTTCACAAGATTGGTAATAAGAGCTTCCAATTCATTTTTTGAGAGGGGGGAGTTTCCAAAACTGGTCTTTACCTTCAACATATTCAATTGGTTTTCAACATTTGGGCATTATTTTGTATGCTCTTTCGGAAAATGAAAACAAAATTGAGAAATTCTAAAAATAGATTTTTGATGACGTCACACTTCACCACTCTATACATGTACAGACAGAGGTATTTGCAGTACAAAGTATGTGCATATTTATTATAGGACGGCATAGTAAATTTGAATGGACAGGATAATGCACAACGGTAGGACACACCAGATGATCGTTATGGGTAAACCAGTATTTTTCACAGGACGGCAGAGCATCTTTAAGGACAGCTTGGTTCAACATTATAAAGATATAACAGTAAATGAAAGCCTTGTCTTTAACAGGTCTGCAGAATGTTGTGATATTGGTGCATATTGCTATTTGGTCGATAACCAGTTCGTTTACAAAACATTTGGCTTAATAATCATTTAAATAATTACTTAATCATAAATGATAATGATCATAGTAGGCGAAATGGGCTTTAGACAAACAGGAAATTAACCCGACTAGAAATAACACTAAATGAGCAATAGACCAAATGACTATTAGCCTAAAAGATCATTAGACCAAATGATAAGTAGACCAAATGATGATTAGACCATGTGGATAGTAGACAGGCTGGGTGTAGACCGTATGGGAATAGACCAATTGGGAAGTGGACGAACTGGTTGTAGACCAAACGGCAATAAACCTTGATATTGAAAGCATAGATCAAACTATGGGAGCACTAATACATGTCAACCTCCCTGCAAAAAGTGCTAAAAATACTTTTTGATTGATAAGACGTTTGGCGTATATCATACACAGTGGACACATTCAAACAACTTTAGATCTTGCTCATATTAATAAATAAGTTCTGTGTCCGGTTTAATTATGACATTTCTGTATGTGTGACACAAGTCAAGCATTTCTGTGCCTTTAAAATAATGTTTTTGAAGTTAAAGATGCAGGGCAGTATATACTCCAAACATTCTGATGTCCATATATCTCTGTGTTGGCAAGCAAACCAAAATCATCTTTTGAATAATTTTATGCCATTACACGGAAGATGAAACAGATATAAAGTGGTTGAAATGGTGATATATATGTCCCCATATATATAGGAGGGTAGCACCTAACATTACAAAAAGATGTGGGCCATTCATTTATCGGACAATTGTTCAGTCTTTCCAAAATACACAAGCCTGTGCATTGTCTTAAATATCAATAGATTCTAAATAATTCAATCCTAGGCTTGTAGTGTATGCATTTATTATAATCACAATTTGAAAGCCAGATCATGTGCACTGTTGGGTTGATGACATTTTCTGTGACATGATGTCTGCTGCTACAGTATTTCTGTTCTAACAATAAGTGCAAAAAGAAATTTTCTTTCAAACAGATTTACTGCACTGATCTTCCATCCCCTTGAAATATGGAACGTCCTTATATTTGAGAAATACAACAAGCTTAAGGTGCTTAATAACATAAACTGTCTAGATCACTGATCAATATCAATATCAAAAGACTGCAGGAGAGTAGGCGTTTGTTTGAGATCAGAGAGCATATTGTCACAGTCTTGTCATTTTTAAAAACCAGCTTAAAGAGTTCTTTAGCATTTCACCCCTTTCAATTAGTACCAGTTGCCTCATCAATTAAAAAATAAATCAGCAATGTTAAATAAGTGATTTTAAAATGTATGCTGTATTAGGAAATAAAACAAATCTAGCCCTTCGCATACAACTATGATTGCAAGAGAGGAGGAGAGGAGTAGGGGAGGGGTGTGGGTTATGGGAGGGGATGGGTCAGTCTCTATGTCTGGTCGACGTCCAGTGTGAGGTCCATCTTGGTCATGACCGTGGTCTTAGTCTGACCACCACGGAGTCCAGCCAGGAAGGTTTGAGGCTTAGGCACGTTGGAGTAATCGTCTCTCAAGGTTTGGACGGTTTGGTCCCTGGATAATGCAAAAGGACAAAATATCATAGTTAGGAATATGGTTCTATATTTCATTCTAAAAAAAATGATAGAGAAGCATAGTCCTTTAGATGAGAAAACAACAACTGAATTTTTATGAAAGGCAAATAGTACTAAGCTAACAATTTTAAATTTCGAACTTATATTGATCATTTATCATTTTGTATCTATAAAACTTTTGCCGGAACTTCATACTTTGATTAATATGGGTACATGCATCTGCTTTTGAATGTGAGGGCAATTCAAACTTTGTGGATATGTGAAAGCATGCTTTACAAAATATGTGAAAACATGCATTACAAAATATGAGAAACAGGTTGATGAAAGTTACAAACAATTGAAACAAATCGCATGAACTAATAAGAACTTTATTAATTGCTTGAAAGATGAGATCATTTGCTCCATGTGAATCTCAAATTGGCAACATTGGTCATTTGATTGTGCGAGATTTCCTACAACTCTCTCATGTGTTGTGAATATAACATTTTAAGAATTTATATTTCTCCTTTATGTAAATTATCCTTTGGGCCATATTCGGATGGCATGTTGTTCTATGTCCCCAATAAAAAAATTTAAAATTTTATGCAATCAAATTGTGAACGTTTTCATTTTTGTAATTTTATGTGTTGGAGCAAATTTCCAAAGACAGGGATCTAGAAGATTGGTTATAACAAATGATGCAAATGTTTTTCAGTTGTATATCATAGCATCTATCTGCTCTCAGAACCCCTGTGTGTGCATGCATGCACCTACATGTATCATACTCAACGGTTTCAAATGATAGATGCATACAGGCTCATCTTTTAAAGAAAGACTAGTATAACACATTCATTAGATTACACCATTTGAATATGATGATATTTGTGATATGACTTACTTTGGTAGGTAGACCTGGGACACATTATCTCGTCTCATGTTACTCAGATTGGTCTGGGCTGAGTGAGTAACCTTTGTCCTTAGGTTTGCCTGCATGGAATAAAGGAAGTTCTACAAGGCTAGTTTTTGTTTAAAAAAATTGGGAGGAGGGGCACTTTTCTTCTAATTTCTTGTAAGAGTACCGGTACCTTCATTACATCACTACACAAAATCTAAAGTAGAACAAGCTTTTACCAGATTATGTGACTACTTATAGAATTTTCTCTCATGGTTTTTGGGAGTAAGTATGATAATATTTCTTTCTTTTTTTTTGGAGTGATATGAGCTCACTAACTAAGTCAAATATTTCATCAAGGTATTATTTACACTGCATGGTTTGAAAAAAGCACAATTTAAGTCCATTGGATATTTTTCCAGGAAAATTTCAATGTTACGAGGGATATACTGTTCACATATGGATACATAATTCATCCCCTTTCTTGCCTATTGAAATGTTAGAGAGTAATCCATTAAGAGTAAAAGTCACAAAAGGTCTTTTTTTTAAAACATTAAAATTCACTCTCCGAACTGTATTCTCCAATTTGCCTCCTGTAAAGGCTCGTTCAGATATGACGCTTTAAACTGCAGCAAAAAAGCCACCACCTTTTTTTTAAACGTGTTAATGATTGGCAACTGCCCGAAATAAAGGTCATGCGCTTATTCACTGAGCTCTGTGTTATAAGACACAGAAATGTGATGCATGTTACTGTCAAAAAAAATGCTGCAGTTTCTCCTTAGTCATATCTGAACAAGCCTTTCTTCTCAATCGAATCTCAGTCGTAATGTACCAGCTTGATTGCCTTGCGCCTGAGCTCCCATTCGTTCCACTCATAGGACTTGACAATGTTAGATTCGATGGGATGAACCTCTGTCTGGATTCCCATATCACACTTGGTGATAGGTTTCTCAATCATCTGACCCTGGTCTTTGCCCTGGAAGAGAAAGATGGTAGACACAATATTATAGTTAGTAGAGAATAGCATAGTATATATACAAATATTGACTGCTTTGAGGGTCACTGTTAAAACTATTGCCCAAGGTGATCTTTAAACTGTAATGGCATATAGTACAATCCTGAGATCGCAGAGGAGCTATAGTTTTAACCGTGGCCCCCAAAATAAGCAGTCAATATTTCTTTATTGGTAATTATTGATCTTCAAATTATTCTTTTTCAATGCATAACTCATGTTGCTTGCTATCAGCTATTGATGTAAATTGTGCAACCTATGTTGTGATGTACTGATTGTTTTTGATAAACAGCATTTAGAATTGGAATTGAATCAAATTTGATGCACAAATATTTGTTAAATGCCTTGTTACAGATCATTTCATTCACCTGTTACAAATAATTGTATTTCAATAGTAAGAATGTGAATTGCTTACATTGATTGGATTGTCCTACCTAGCAACAACTAACATATGCAATTTGAATTCTGACTATTTAAGTACATTTATTCGTAGCAGGTGAATGAAATAATTGTAACGAGGAACTTAACAAAGATTTGAGCATTAAATTTCATTACATTACGAAAATGGCCTGTTCCATTGTTGTTGTTTGATCAGGTTTTAAAGCAATTCAGTCAAAATTGACTATTTATGCCCACTCGATGATGAGAGTATGCATACCTGTGTGTAAGGTGTGATGGTAGCAAACTGAGCATGGAGCTCTAGTAGCTGTATCAGCTGAGGGGATTTCTTTGCACACTCAGCCACGTAGGCGATGTATCTCTGAGGCTCGCTGGCAAACTCATAGGCCGCCTGCTTGGACGAGAAGACATAATAACGGTCCTGGTATCTCAGGACTCCTATGTCTGGATTACCTGGTAGGAGCAGACGATCAAACACAACCAGGGACCAACCACAGTAACCCTGCAAAGGTAAAGGGGGGAAAAGACAAATTTGGGAAAGGATTGACGAATGGTCAGTTGTCGCAAATTGTTTAAAAAGCACAAACTTGAAGACCAAAACCTACAAAAAGTGATATTAAATTCATGGATGAGAATGCATAATAGTGTTTCTCATATTGAAATATCCAGATATCTGTTTATTTCCACCAAACATCATCTGAGTAAAGTTCAGTAACCCACCAATAAAAGCAAAAGTCCACATTAAGAACGAGACTTTTACCCGTAATAAAACTTGATAGCTTATTTTAAGATGATGGGGAACAAAGATACATGTCTACAACAAATAGAAATTACTTTAGCACAATATGCTTCCATAATGATATGTCCACATAAATAAAAAAATCCAGGATTAATGCACATTTGTGAATATATCAAGGACGAAATGATATGCATATCTTTCTATCTACCATATAACTCAATCTAGGAGACAGTTTATAACTTTACAATATTTAAACAACATGCATACATGTAAGTCATTAAATTGCAATGCTATTCATAATAAAAGTTATTTCCCTTTCATAATGTGGGATTTCAGTATAATCTACAAACGCTATTTAAAAGGAACAACATTCCATGGTTTTCCTGTTATGGGGTTTGATTTTATGAAAAAAATGGGTAATGTTTGTGTTATAATGTGCAATATTCATTCATTCATCCTTTCAACAAGGTTTGACAAACAATGTGCATGAGCTCTGCACAAAAAAAAGGAGAAGAAGATTACCTTGTACTGAAGAGGGAGCCTTTCAAAGTTCTTGGTTGTCTCTGGAAATAACCAGTCCACATTCTTGAAGTCTGACGGACTGACTCGATGATCTTTGCCCAATGTCTGTGCATAACAGATAAAGAATATATGGTGTTGAGATAAAACAAAAAGCAATCCTAAAGATAAAAAGTAAAGTGCATGTCAATTTGAAACCTATTGATATCATTGAATTACAATCCCTTTTCTTGTTTCTTTCTTTTCATTTTTATTTTTAGATCAGATGAAATTCACTACTAAATGCTTTTTTTTTTCTTCCTGAATCACATGTATTGTGTAAGGTGCAGAGTTTCACCGACTATTTGTAGCTGTGACTTTTATCAAAAAACCTTTTCAATTCAATTCAATGAAAGGCCCATTCCCACCATCTTAACTATGGGGAAATCAAGCGCACTATAATAACAATAATATTAGGCAATTATATAGTGCCGTCTATCTAGACAATTCAATTCCGAGGTGCACAAATAAATTATTACGCCAGCTTTATCCTAGCTGCTATTAAAGCGCCCTAGCATTTCAAAAAATGAATTCCTGCCAGGTACCCATTTATTTACCCCACCTGGGTCGAGGGTGGCAAATGTAGATTAAGGCCTTGCCAAAGAACATTAGTTAATTGCTTAAACCACTCTACTTTGACACTATATATGCTTGTCTCATTTGGTTTAGAGACAGCTCTTTGTTTTATAAAGCGGTTTACCACCTCATGTCTGAATGGGCCTTCAATGTTACATGGTACCAATCTGATGATTGTACTGAGACATACATTGGTTGGTCTTGCTTCAAAACTTGTGTTCACACTATCCTACCTCTTTGATCCTGTCTTCATCACTTCTGATCTTTGTTCCTTCAAGGAAAGGAGAGAGCAGGTCCGGTGTGAAGAACTCACGATGGTTCTGCAAGTATCGCAAAATATACCATATTGAAAGAGAAAAACATGCTATAAACTATGTCAGTGACTTAAGTAATTTTGCTGGTTTATGAGAGAAAGATTATATATTTCTTGACATCCCCAATTCTACTAAAATTTTAAGTATGAATCAAGGATTATAAAATATATAATGTCTGAATATAGTGGATGCCATGAACTATGGAAGTAAGATACTCTTCCCTGTAATTAAATGCAATAAAAACCTATTTTTGATGATTGTTAATTTACATGGCATCAAAAATCAAAAGATTTGCAAAAATAATTATATAAATATATTCATTTTATTGGCCATGTTGATATTTTGTAATAAAGCAGTTTAAACTCTTATTTATGAAATGGGGGGGGGGGGGGGTGTTTATTCCCTTTTCTTTCTTGTGTAATTACTTTCATCTAAATAGGCAATTTTTGTATTGTAATAAAATTTAATACACAAATCTTTTTTTATGTGTATCAAAGTTATTTCACTCACCTGTTACAAATAATTTCAATTCAATAGTCAGAATGTGTGTTGCATACATTCCCTGTTCTAAGGTAGGACAAGCCATAACATTTTTCCTACCTAGCATCAATTAATGTATGCAGTTTACATTCTGACATTCTGAACAAATATTTGTAACAGGTCAATGAAATAATTTGGAAAGGAGGCACATTTATTAACAAAGATTTGTGCATTAAATTTGGTTACATTATAAAAAAGTCTACCCGTAAGTGACCTTAGTGCCAGGATATCAAAACATATTTGATAGGTGGTGTCCATGCATTTCTAATCAGACCATTTAAAGTAGACACACAGAGAATCAAAAGTGTTTTGAATTGATGCAAAACTCATATCATTGCGAAGGGGAAGCCTTACTGATCAAATACAACAACTCTCCTTTTCAAAATATGTTTGGAGCCCACAGTAATCAATTCTCAAAAATGTTAGTTTTGAGATCCTGATTTTCTGCCTTCAGCGGTCCTTTGTAGAGCATCAATATTTGTGACGTCACACACGCGACACGGCTGGCTAGCTGCAGACTTATACACGCGCGACTCCGGTACTGAGCTGTTTGTCCAGTGTGTGACGTCACTATTCAGAGCTCGCAACGCTCGTGTGTTTGGTTTACGTTCAGGGGCGTTCGGGGGTCTAAGAAGGGTCTTGAAAAATTGCATTTTACGCCTTTCCATGATATCTTTATGATTTCTCAGCAAATTATTTGTGTTTTTCAAGAGAAAATCTTTCCATCCATATGTAATTTGTTCTAATTATCAGTTGTAGTGAATTTTTCTTTCTTTGTGTAGCTCCTTTAAAGGTAAATGTATCTCTATGAACCGAACAGGAAATTACATCTTATACAATAATACATGCATTGTGCAGACGACTTTCTGTGCATTCAAGTACCATGTTTTCATAACCCAAAGTCAATGTCTCTTGTCACCTAACGGCAAGCACGCCAGGATGTTTATTCAGGACAGAAAATACTCGCCATGCAGTGCAAAGGTTTTGCTCAAATAAAATAAGACTGTTTGGCTTGATACGATATAGTCAAGCGAGCCAAATTTTAATTGATCTTTATACGGTCAAACATTTTTCAAATAAAATAAGACTTTTGGTACGATATGATGTAGGCAAGCACGCCAGATTTGACTTGATCTGTGTAGGTCAAACTGGACATGAGTTTACAATATCTTTTTCCCTTCTACCAGACAGACCTTTTGCTTCATTAACGAGGCAAATTAATTGTCAACGTGTCACAGACAAAGCCCAGATTTACAAGAAATCTGCTGTACAAATTAAAGAGCTTTTAATTGTTTACCTTATTATAGGGTTCCAAGCTGGCCAGGATGTTACTGAGTACACTCAGGAGTACCATCTCATCCTGGAACCCGCTCCAGATGTGAGCCAGGTTGATGAACTGCGGCTAAAATCAAATCACAAATAAAAATAAATTTGATTTTCAACACCGACAAAAGCACACATATTAAACCCTTTCATTAACACAGTATTCCAAATATTTTTGCATAAACTGAACTGGAATGCTTTTACAATTGAACTGATTGTAGAATTAGTAATGGCCTAAATGTTTTCAAGAAGTTGGTGATGAACACCGGCTGTAACATATTTACAAAAATTGCAGTTTTCAACATTGTTTTTCATTAATCATCTTCAACAATGATAATGTCTTTAAGTTATTGAGGTATTTGCATCTGTAAGCAGTCAAAGAATGAGAGTTTAGATTTAACCATCTGATTTAAATGCATAAATTTGAGATCTGAGGAAACAGCCTTGCGATAACAATTACGACTTTATTCACCCTTCCCACAAACAAATTTCACATCAAGTTTTAAAGAAATAACAATGACATGTTTTAGAGTTGTACTTACATAGACCTGAGCTGTAGGTACTGCTGTCTTAGACTGGACGGTAGCCTGAAGCTGTTCTAACCTTGCTCCCAACTGGGCCTCTAACATCTCAACCTGTTGCGCACAGCTGATCACATCATTCTGCAAATTGGCAACAAATTACAATTTAACATATTATGTATTTTTTATACAATATTTTAGTATTTAGTCCAAAATGACTATTTAAGGGTACCATGCAATCACACACAAATATTTTGCTTGATGTTTGGAGTTCTTTGCAGCTATATCATATTCAACATTTAAACTTCAAACATCCATAATTCTGTTAAGATATAGAAGTTTAAAAGAAAAAATGTAATACAGACTTGAATTCTGTTTGGTTGGGATTTTTATGCTATGCTTTATTTTGGTTGCTGGTTTGATTTTTTTTACCCGACTGCTAAGAAAGCTTGTGTATGCTTGTAAGTAAGTAACCAGGGGACAGACAGCTTTGAGTCCTCTCTGAGGGACTTGGTAATGAGGATTAATGCTTACCAAATGGCAAAAGCGCATTGATTTGGTTTCGAACCTCCCGGTTACGAGACCACTGCTCTAACACTGAGCCATCGCGCTTCCTCTTCTTCATACTCCCTATTAAACCGTTAAGCCACAATAGTGCTATGGAATTATTTTTTGGGGGGGAGGGGGGGGGGGGGGTTGGTGTGATACCTTCTACATAAAGTATGCTTTCAAGTTATTGCCCCCTTTTTAATCATATTTGTAGAAGTGTCATAAATTCAAAGGTCGTGGTTTGATCCCTGACATGGCACTAATGTCCTTTGACAAGGCATTAATCTACATTTGCCACACTCAAAATGTACCTGGGTACCATGGGTACCTGGCAGGAATTAATTCCTTGAAATGCTGGAGCGCTCTAATGGCAGCTAGGCTAAAGCCGGGGTAATAATCAATTTGTGCACCTCAGAATAAAATTGTCTAGATAGATGGCACTATATAAATGCCTATTATTATTATTTCTTATTAATAAAAATCATTGGATAAACAAGAGAGTCTTCAGCTAGCTCACCAAGATGATCCTCAAGAAGGCTTCGTGTTGTCTGACGTTGATAAGAGCATCTCTCAGAGCCTGGATTGAGGGACCATCAGTCACTTCTCCACTCATCATACGCTCAACCAGGGCTGCAATAACACAAAATAAACCACCATTCTAAAGCAATAAGAAATTGTTGTCTAGATTTGTTCTTCAAATACAATTAGTCAACAGAATACGTAAACATTTATCAGATCTGGGGCCCGTCTAAAAAAGACTTACGATTGATCCAAGTCAATCGCAATTCCTGTTCACTCATGCATAAAATGTTAATCCCATAAACCACAAATTTCACTCAGCAAACCAAACTCATCACAATTGATCATAAATTGGTCATATCATCCTCAATTCTGTAAGCTCCAAAGGATTTACCTCTCACAAATTGGAAGGCAAATTCCTGCGCAACCTAATTTTCATACCCTTTACAAAAGTGAGCAGTGCCCACCCAAGTATGAATTATTTTCGGACTTTTTGGTGTCATATGAAAGTTGAGTTTATAGTTGTATGTTTCCATACATACAAAAAAATCCCCCAGAATCATATATTTTTTATTCGGCAGCCATTTCAAAAGTGTTTAGTTTTTTGGGGACGCACTGTAGTTGCAATTGATATCAACTCTTTGTAAGACAGGGCCCTGTCGAATTGAATTCCGTTGCCAAGACATTGTTTCCTCTCAAATAACTCCTTTTGGGAGGGCTTACACTAATTCTCTTTTCAGAAACTTTTAATTTTCAAGTAACAGAAGATCTGCTATCATATACCTGGTAATAAATAATACAAATGTTTTGATGTACACTACATGACTTGTTAATGCAAAACATGATATCCATATAACTACATATGCCACCAAATACAATGTGAGAGAAATACATAGAGTAGGGTGTCTCTCATGAGGACATACATTTACAGGTAGGTGACTTTTGATCATTACTATAAACCGTGACAATAGTGATTGAAACCGTGCAACAATCTAACCTGTATATTTGAATGCAGTGCCACATGCTCTCTGGATGGCTGTATCTACATTCTGAGTAGTAGCCGGAACAGCCTCATTTAAGATAGCTGGCACTGATGGAAAGAAAGAAGAAATGTATAAACACCTTATCATGAACTGAGTCACTTATATTTGATGATAGTGCTGTTTATTATAGTTTTTAAGCTACAGCAAGGTAAAAGGAAAGGTTTTGTCTTTGCCATGAATATTAATTCTAATCTTTTACATTAATGATTATCAAATATGAAAATACTAAATCTAACTTTAATAGATATATAAATATACATATGAATAAATAAATGAATGAATATATAGACAAATCATTAAATGAATAAATAAATAGAAACATGCAGATGAATTAATCAATCAATGATAGATTAATTAATTAATCAAATAAATAAATAAATAAATACATATAAACATACATTTTAATAATAAAAAATACACAAAACCCATTCCTTGTCATAATTCACACATAATATTATTGACAGGTGCACTTTAACCTGTTGAAAACTACCAGTATGCCAAAAATAACTTGGGCTGCCGTTTATGATAATATGTGTTGTTCCAAAATCAAACTGTATTCAAAATTGTTTTTAAAATATGGCAAGTAACTTACAATCATCGATGCCCTCCCCTCCTTTGCCACATTCCTTGTTGAAGAGACGAATACCGGTCACAATGTGAGTGAGCTCAATCAACTGACGCTCTTTATCTCGTTTCACAAGAGACATGAACGTTCCAAGCTCAGTCTGTGGGAACACACTCTGGAGAGCGGCTGTGATTGGAGAAGATGCAAAACTATAATAAGCATTCATTATCCTCAGATGAATTTGTAACAATATACATATACTAGGCACAGCCTTTAATTAATTGGCATGGTCCTCTAGGACAAAGTCACCTTGTATGAACTATACCTGTATTTGAGACAGTTTTACACTTCATACGTCATTGTTGATTTTTTGTTTAAACCTTCTGCAAAATAACAATAGTGTACCACTTTGAAAATAAAGTAAGAATGCAAACTATATTCAAGTCTATAACAATTCAAGCCCACATAACATTATTTCATTCTATTTTACATACTCCTACCAAACTTAAAGAGGCATCCAGGGTGCATGTGTAATTGTTCTTAAGGGAAACTTAAAAAAAAAAATTTTATAGTACAAATCAAAAGGGAAGGGACCTCGCAAAAAACGTCACAGAGTTGCCAATTTGTGTTTGATTGATCGCAACTTCAAAAATGTGTACTTTCTTATTTTCAATAAGAATTGCTAAAACTTTCACAGACCTGTTCCTCTCAATATTTTGCTTAAAAAAAAAAAACTTAATATCAGGGTGGACTTCCCCTTTAACAAGAGACAGTATGTCATTACCTGTAGCCTCTCTGACCACAGCTATATCCGTTGGAGAGCCGAGACCAGACCGAAGAAGAACAGCAGAGACTATCTTCCTGTAAAGACTCTCTAGTTCATCTCTAGTCCTAGCCCTACTGTCAGTGATCTCACGGATGACAGGGGTCAATCTCTGTTCCAAGACTCGTCGATGTTCCTCAAGGAAGTCACCTAATAATAATAATATCATAGATTGTGACACATGCGAAGATAATGAGGACAACTATTAAACAATTACAAATTGTTTAAGGTATGATATGTAACACTTTTCAAGTACTCACAATTTTTATCAATCAGGTTTAGGAATTTTAAACAAGTTTGAGAAAAATTATCTTAGTTAGGTGAAAGAAAAATTGATAATCATGTGAGAAAATTATAAGAATCAAACTAATTCAAAGCCATAAGTATTTCTTTGTTATATCTTTTAGAGTGATTTTCAACAAATATTTTGACAGTTAAACAAAGTGTGACACCTTTTACAGTGTATATTTGTATATCTCATTCCTATATCTTACACCTTTCCTTAAAATCCTAATGAAAAGTGCATTTTTTTAAATTCAAAAACCTTTGTTTAAAAATTGGTTTTGTACATGTTTGCTGAGGGAAGACTTTTGTCTTTTGGTCACAAACAACAAATTAATTAGAAGTAGATTTTGTTATTGTTTTTTTTTTAAATCACAATATATTTCATAAAGTTATGGATTCCTCTGATTTTTAATGATTTAGTGACCTTTTTAAGTCAATGGGATGATAATAGAGTTGGAAATCTGCAACACATAAGTGCAACACTTACACAAAGAATGCTTTTTAAAGGACATTCAAGTATTATTGACATCAAACGATAATCAATCTCCTCAAGTCTCAAACTACAAATAATACATCTTAAAAGTTAATCAACATTGATTAGCTCAACTACTGGCCTTACCCCTTGAAGTATAGTTCATATCAAAGTAGACTTGCATCTTAACTGTATCCAGAGCAGAGGATCTGGAATCAAGAAGTCTATCCACACAGATCTAAAAGACAGACACACACACACAAAAAAAAGGAAAGAAAAATAAAGAAAATGAAAAGAATCAGGAATAACATTGATATCATGATAGGAAACATGGAATTTATCCTAGTGTACTGGAAAGTTTCTTTCAATCAGGCGCGAAAGCTTCTATCCATCTCCTTATAATTGGGAGCAATGCCTGAACGGCACCTACATGTACATGTACAAATGTCAGAAAATCACTTTGTAATAAGTGGAAGGAAATACAGTGTCTATGTGAATGAAATTCTACTTTTACGTTCAATAAACTTCTGTTACCATGAGGTTGGAGTATTTGAAGAAGGTAAAATCTTTAGTGTACCACAATGAACTTGTCTCAACCATTTTAATTTTTTGTTCTTCTTATAATATACATACCTTTATCAGCCGCTGGACATCGTCTTTGGTAAGCGTTCGGTCAACATTGAATTCATTGGATGGGTCCAGGACAACGGCCTTGACCATGAAAGCTACCAAGGTTTCTGAGACGGCTTGCCCTTTGCTGGCACATTCTTGGGCGATCTCTCGGATGATGTTCTTGATGACACTCTCTGCCTGAGCTCTCGACATGATTCTTCTTCTGTAGGCCTAGATAGAGGTACATTTTAACAGAAAAATAAAGGTGTTAATTGAAAGAAATTGCTACCATTCTTTCCATTTCCAGATATTATAAGTCAATTAAAACTGCAAATGATGGAGAAAAAAATACTGCGAAATACACCTGCCTTTTAATAGATTACACTCAGAAGCCGACATTGTAAACATGGTAAAAAGGCAAAATTCAGCCAACTCCACGCCTGGTCCTTCGTAAACTAAACTAGACCTACGGCCTACACCCTAATTGCTATTATCGTAAAGTAACAAATTGGCAAAGCGAAAACAGTTATTTGTACAAAGCTAACTTTGCATTTCAGAAAGAACCATAACCTCTTATCAAACTCAAACCTAAAAATGAAGACTTATAACATGCACTTTCTCACGGGATTCACGGCAAACTGCAGCACAATACAATTGCGTACCGACGGTGGGGTGCGGGCGCGCGTGTTTAGTTAGTGACCGTAAACTAAGATTACAGTCTCTAACTTTACACATGCGCGCGCCCGCACCCGACTGCTGGGACAGTATGTTCAGTTTGGCATGAATCCTGTGAGAAAGTGCATCTTTATATTTTTATAGACCTAGTCTAGACTAAGTCTTTTTTTTTAGGAAAAATACTCGAGTCTAAGATAAGAAGTAACGTTAGACCTAAGAAAATTGACATGAAACACGTAACAAACTTATCGACTTTAAATCATGACCTTTATTTGGATATTTGATGAACATTTACTTCATTTTGGGTATGTTTTAGTAGGATATCCCCACACCGGAGTTACGGCTCAAAGTTTGGATATACTTCTGAACTAGCGCTCATAAGAGCTCTAGAGATTTTTTGGACACAAAAGTAAATGCATGGGACCATTAAAAAAAATGTAAGAGTAAAGTACCGTTAGGCATAGTATTATTTTAGACCCTACTTACCAAATCGTGAATTGAAATTTATTCAGCCAATTATTCACATGCAGTGCTGTAAATTCATTACGACAGTAATCAATTTGCTATTTAAAGAGCGATACAAAATATGTTAACTTGTGAATTTATGTGAGTCAAGCCAGCACAAAAGTTGTTGTATGCGATCGATGGCATGGAAACAAAATTACTCGACAATAGAGGGCGTCGAATATTATCGAAGAGACTAGAGTAATTTAAAGGGAAACAGGGGCGGGTTCCTAGAAACCGTCATAAGTCTAACTTCTTGACTATCCCATTGAAACGTGTGTTATAGAATTAACACGGGTTTCAATGGGATAGTCAAGAAGTTAGACTTATGACGGTTTCTAGGAACCCGCCCCTGGCATCTGTACACAAATATCCAATAATTATGCTCATGATTTAAAACAAAAGGGAGGATTTAAAGGTACTATGTCCCATTTGCAGGCCAAAAAATGTAAAGGTTAATTCCAACGGCATTTAAAAGACAATACTAAATTTATTTTGTAGTAATAGCTGCTTTCATGGATTTAGCCGATATGGGATTTGGCCAATATTTATCCATAGCTGTATCATATAAGAGTGCTCATCGATATAATAAATATGATATTATATTTCGCTTTAAATAGTGCTTAATATACATTGTCGATGTCTCTAGGCGCTTTAACAATATATTATATATTACCCCGGTCATCGGATTCAGGCTTGCCCGCACATAATGTATGCACATTCTCCACTTCCTGGGGAGCATTCCAACCAGGCGCTATTAAATTTACAGACGCTCACAATACTTAGCAAACTACTTTGATGTTTACACCCTAAACCGGATACCCACTCAACACATGGGTGGAGAGTGGTAAATGTAGATTGGGGTCATGCCACATGACGTTAGTGCCGTCTTGGGATTTGAACCACATACCTTGTGATCTACACTAAAGTCCGGGCAACTTATCCACTAGACCATGCACAGCACTTCACAAACTTATTCTATAGTATAAATGTAATTAGAGCTAATGATTATAGTTCTAATAGAGCTGCTTATATAGGCTAGATAACTAACCCTGTAGTGGAACTATAATGTTTACAGTAAACATGTAAACGAAGGTTGCTTTTAATGTTTTGATGATAACTTTACAAGTACAAACAAGGGAGTTCACGTTTAAAAGTTGCCACAATCTGTACACTGAATCTGTATACTACATGTATTTTGATACATTACATCATAGAAATGGGCAATCAAATTTAAATAATCACTTCTATTCTCACTTATGAACCATATGTTTTAAAGATCCAAATTTGCAATTTTCCTGACTTAATGATTTTCGGAGTGTCTTAATTTTCTTTTCTCTTTTTCTATTCATGTATTTTTTTTATTGCATGTTAAATCTCTTTTTCCACAAAAAACGGTTTATGCCGTTCCTTTTATACTGTTCTTAGTTTATTTCTAAGCATAGATCTATGATATTCTCTCTTTCATTTATTAACGCGAAATTTTATCACAATGAATATGAAATGAAATGGAATGGAAATATCTTTTCCTGTATAATTACGACCTATTGAATTGGGATGTTTATGATAAGCCTGCGTAGTAGCAGGGTAGTCCTATCCCATCATGCTCATTTTGATAATACGATCTAAGCATTCTCCTACCAAAATATCCCAACCATAACTGCTAAACAAACGTGATTTATTTTTCACATTAACAATTGGTAATCACAAAAATGGTATAATGTAAACAAATGAAACACAATTTAGTTATCATTTTAATTGTTTCAGTTGAATGAAAATAAAGGTGGAGTCTGGACCTATTCATGGGTTTGATAATTACGCACTGAGAAGTAGGACTAATTGATATCATTACTCCTGTTTTTTATCTTAATTCTCTCGTGGTCACTGTTCAAAGATCAGCTGATCAGCTGATAGATAATCTTTCTAATACACTGAAACCGATGTTTCGGCATGTTGGGCACTAAGGGTTTTATATGCCCTCCCCTCATTATGCAATGCAGGCCTACATAGTTCCTACATAGGCCTATGTAGTTACGAATTTTCTTTCTTTACTGAGTCTCGATCTAAACGTTTGTCGTTGTTTTTTCATGAAAATTAAACGAACGAATGAATGAATAAATAAATAAATAAATAAAAGTTTATACAAAATAAAAGATTCACAACAATTATATAGATAGGTAGATAGATAAATAGACAGACAGATGGACTCAGTTTATGTTCATCTTTATCAATCTTTCCTATTTATTTTTTCTTTCTTCTTTTCTATATGATTTTATATCGTTTTTTATTTATTTCAAACGCGTTTACATGTTTTCAGAGTTCTCTGAATTCACTCTATATTTTTCTATTACTTGTTCATGTCTGAATCGTTTAACAATTAAGATAGAGTAAATATATTGCAGTAGAAATGGTCTCCGTCAGTATGTTTTTTTCTTTCTCCTCATCCTTTTCCTTATAGATTATTCCTCCCTTCCCGACCTTTCACCTGAGAGCATCCCATATGAAGGCAAGAATAGCCAAAAGGTCGGCGCCCCTATTTTTCGTATCACCAGCAGGTTCCGCCCATTTTGAGAACAAAATTAGAACTGCTCAGTCGTACAATTAATTGGGCGTGATTATATGCAGCAAATCCCTTAGTAAATAATGAAGGTTCAAGCCCGCGATAAGAAACAAACAACCAACGTTCCGTAACGCCTGCATAACATCTTATACCAAACTCAGATATTTCTACAGTGTTGCACTGATCACCATTCTTCATAATTCGAATCTTGTCTTGTGGTAAGCGATTCCTTTTTAAAAAGAAATATTTCATTTAATTGACTTTTTTAGATCTAACTCTAACGGAAAGGTATAATAATAATAACAGTAATGCTAATAAAAAGAAGAAGAAGGAGAAGGAGAAGAAGAAGAAGAAGAAGAAGAAGAAGAAGAAGAAGAAGAAGAAGAAGAAGAAGAAGAAGAAGAAGAAGAAAAAGAAGAAAAAGAAGAAGAAGAAGAAGAAGAAGAAGAAGAAGAAAGATGAAGAATGATAATGATAATTTTGATACATTTCAGCCCGTTTACATATGACATGTATAATTGTTTATTGTTCTCCATCAGAAGCACATCATGATGCAGCAGATATTGGTCTTCGTCATCTTAGTAGTCACCCTCCAGATGGTAGCAGGAAGGGCTCGACTTGCACCCCTCTACAAATCAGAAGATGCCATCAAAGGGGACTATATTGTCGTACTAAAGGTTAGTCAGCAGGTTCATAGACGAACCTTTGCTTAAGGTCTGTTCACCGGTTTAAAGATGAGGTTTTGCTTAGGGTTATTCAATAGGTTTGTAGATGAAAATGTGATTATGGTCTGTTAAGACGAGGTTTTACTTAAGGTAAGTTGATAGGTTTGTAGGTGAACCTTTGCTTAAGGTCTGCTTGTCGTTTTTAAGATGAGATCTACTTAAAGTTGGTCAATAAGTTTTAAGATGAACATAATTGTATGGTCGGTTAACAGGTTTGTGCTTAAGGTAATTGGACAATAAGTTTTAAATAAAAACAAATTTAGGTAGGTTAACAGGTTTTGATATTCGGTTTTGCTTAAAGTTGGTTAACAAGTTTTTAAATTATTCTTTGCATGATGTCGTTTAACAAGTTTTGTGATAAGGCTGTGCTGAAGGTTTTAGAAGAGTCTCGGTTGGTTCAACAATCTATTCTATATACCATTTAAAAGCTTCGTGTAATTTTCTGTCACATCTTTACAAAATGCACCTGTCATGCTTGTAGAAAAAATTAGGTCGAATATTGAAATGATGCTGCGTATTGAAGTTATTTATTACAGGTATGTAAGATATATAAACATATTATATATTTTTTATTGAACATATCGTTGTGCCATGTAGTATATTTTTCTCAAGATTATCTCTTTATTTCTTTCCTGAAATGTTTCTGAGCTTTCGCTCTGGATCAATGTTGTGAAAAGGATTTCTTAATATAAATATTAATATTCACTATGACAACTGTGTTATTAAACTATGCATATTGAATGCAAATAAACTCTTAGAATTGAAACCTCTATTTCCATAGAATGACGTGGACCAGGATGCTATCTCAGATTCCCTGATCCGTACTGCTAGGACCCAGGGCGAAACCTTGATCGTAAGAAAGAGACTTCGTAAGCTCATCAACGCGTTCGTCGCGAACCTTCCCGCCAGGGCCCTCCGACTGGTAAGTGACTGTGATTCAAAATTATTTTTATTTCTCATGCAAAACATAATACAATGAATAATTATAACAAAAATGTGCAATGCAACCACAAATATAATTTTTTTAAAAGCACGATAAAGAGGAACTAACTAGAAGCAGAGCTTGTTGAAGTGTTAGTTTCTCAGATGCTGTTTTACAATATAACATAAACAAAGTATGCTTAGAAAATCAATAAATAGAAAAAATATGTAGCTAAGAAATTATAGGTTTTTTTCGGGGGGGGGGGAATAAAAGAGAGGAAAAAATTGAGGAAAATAGAAGAAGGCAAAAAGAAAGAAAGATACAAAAAGGGAAAATGAATGATTACAAAGGCTCTAGAAAAAGGAGGTAAGATCAGTAGAAAGAGGGAGAAAGAGATTGAGTCGAGAGTCAAACAAACTGCTCAATTCCTCTGCATTATTGAGTTGAGTTTGAATTTATTACCAAATCACTAACATGTACATTCATTTATAGTCAATACAATATAAAAATATACCTACATACTATTTGGCAACTGGAAACTAATAAATAATAACAAGCTAATCGTGGTTAGCCCCCGAGTAAATCTTTTACAATTTCACATTTAATGCATCACAAAATGTGTTAATGGTCTATATGCAAATTAATGCTCATATCTTTCAAGGAACCTATATACATTGCTGTGTTTCCTGTAGAGAAACTGATAAAATGAAGAAATTACATGTATATATTTTTGAAAATATGCTGAACATACAACAAATGAAATATATACTCATAAAAAAGAGACATACAGAGAATATCTAGACATTCGCATCAGAAGACCGACAGGCAGACCAGACATAATCTGAGATAAAGAGATATATAGAAAGACAGGGAGAGAGAGAGGGGGGGGGTTGGGGTGGGGTGTGAGAGAGATACAAAGACACGCTTGGGTGAGAACACGAATTTCAACAGCGGATCATATAAAATATTTGTCAATACCTTGACCCCGACATTGTCCCGTTTCCCCATCTGAAAATCTACCGAAATAAAATGATGACTTTAGAAAATTACCGAAATATAATACTGCAATTTATGTGAAATTGTTAAACACGCATATTTTCCAACCCCTTTGTTTCCTCGATGTAGAAGTATCATATTGGACGCTGAATTTAAAGATTAAATGAGACCAAACACAAAAGATACAATTGATCTTTTTTAAAATAAAATCTCCATGTACTAGGTACGCTCCCATGAAGCAGTGCGTTATGTTGAGCAGGATAGTTTGGTATACGCAGATACTACTACATGGGGTTTAGACAGGCTTGATCAGAGGGACCTACCTCTAGATGACTCGTACATGCCAGTCGGTAAGTAGAACTGATCACTAGTAGCATCAAGAGGAAAATTATAAGCTCATTAAAAAATAAATTTAAAATTTAAAATTTAAACAAAAAATTTAAAAAACATATTCATTTTCACTCATCAAAATAAGCAAGTGCCTGATTTCTTTGTTTTACTTATCCGTATTGTTTATTCACCATCTTATTATCATTCTCCTTCGCCTTATCGTATAGAGGTGAAGTAGTTATTCGATCCGGCGTTCTTTATTCTACTTTAGATAGGCTAGGCGTTAGAATCTTACTGCACTGGTTATATTTGTTCATAATAACTGTGGTTATGCTGCTTGTCCTTCCTAGATCCTGTCACATCCTTGCTTGTCATACCCTTCCACAGGGTTCAAATATTATTTGTAATCATATTTTTTTTACAACAGATAGATACATTCCGCATCCCGATTATTTATCATACAAATATTTAAAAATATGTAATATAACAGTTTCTCGTCCTTATGCGTAAGATAAAACATAAATGGCAAAATAATTAAACTACAAACACGCACTCAGAAACAATTGGTAAATGCAATACATTTTTGTAATAATGTTTTTCATTCAAGATTTGTTTGTGCTGTATATTTCTCCGTATCATAATACGTTTGAACAGCTAACACATTTTTTTTTCTTCAACCAGTTGTAACTGGTTTAATATTATCTCTTCTTACAACGACTAAGGTACAGTTAAAGCCTGTCATTACATGTCTTTGTCCTCTTCTCAATCATTGTTTTTCCCTCATGCCCTTAATGATTGTTCTTTTTTTGTAGGTGATGGTGGAGCTGGAGTGAACGTCTATGTCCTTGACACTGGTATCAGGACCACGCATGAAGAGTTCGAAGACAGGGCTTTCATTGCTTACGACGCCATGCAGTACGCCATCGTAAGTCCAAGCTTTATATATATATATATATATATATATATATATAATAATAATAATAATCTCTTAAAGTCCACTCCAAATTTTATTAAGTTAAACCGAAAATGTATTTTCTTTTTGCCCAATTGCCCAATATATATATTTGCCCAATATATACTACTACTACAACACAGGGTAACGATAATTATGACAATTGCGACCAGTCCTTTAAACATCGTTCCAATAGGAAACTTTCCAAATGTTTGGTTGGGAAGGGAGATTATTCTTGTATACATTACCAACATATAATTAGCTATAAAATTACTCTAACAAGATAGGGGGAGAGTATTCAGAACGAAATAAAAATAGGACAATTTTATTGGAAGAAAACAGTCAAATAAAATGGGAATATCTTGAGAAAATCTTGTACCCCATCACAACCTTCGTCATCATAGGGGGCGGACGGAGACTGCCGAGGACACGGCACTCATTGCGCCAGCACCATTGGGGGAAAGGCGTACGGTGTAGCCCCTAAGGCCAAGCTGTTCTCCGTACGGGTGCTAGGATGCGAAGGTTCGGGATCGAAGGGAGGAGTCATGGCAGGTCAGAGTTCAAAATAGAAGATAGTGCATGCATGGTGTAGCTGAGGAAGAGCCATGGAAAGGGAATGAATTAAGTCATGATATTAATAGTAGTCGATCGGCTCCATATAGGACTAATACAGAAAAATAAGTGTTCTCGCCTATATCGTTGTCGAATAGTTTCATACCTTGACAAGGCTAGAACGAATTCGTGATTCAAACCGAAAGAAAAAATATAACCAAATCAATCATCCGAATTGTGTAAGGACCCAAAATACCCCCGATCATGCGCAGCAAAGCTACCTTAGCCCTCCTCAAGTTGAGAGGACACCACCCCTCTCGCGATCGCTTTCTTTTATCTTTGACTGTCAACCCCCCCCCCCGCTCTCTCTCTCTCTCTCTCTCTCTCTCTCTCTCTCTCTCTCTCTCTCTCTATCTGCCTCCCTGATCCGCCCCTCGTCCTCTCCTTCTTTCTTTGTCTGTCTGTCTTTCCCTTTCCCTCCCTCTGTCTGTCTGTCTCTATTCTGTCTGTGTGGCACCCCTCGCTCTATTTTCTCTCCCCTCCTTCTCCTCTTCCCCACTGCTCCCCCTCTCTTCCCGTCCCTCTATCACTCTTTCCTTTACTTCCTTAATAACTTGATCTTCTTTCTGCCTATCTTCTCATATATAGGGTGCTGACGGGGATTGTCAGGGGCATGGCACACACTGCGCAAGTACGATCGGCGGCAAGGTATACGGGGTGGCGCCCAAGGCCCATGTTCACTCTGTTCGGGTGCTCGGATGCTCAGGGTCCGGATCTAAGGGTGGCGTTATGGCAGGTGCGATATTAATTACTTACATGTCGTTTCCCGAAAGTTCACAATTCCGAAGGCTGGTTATTCCGAAGGTTCATAACTCATAATGCACAATTAAGGGTCCGTAATTCCGAAAATGAAATACATGAACATGTATATTCATAATTCTGAAGTTCATGAAAGGACGTAAAACACTGTGCCTTTTTTTCCTTCTGAATAAAGAACTTTCGAACCTTCGGAATAACACAATCAATTTTCGGAATCATGAACCCTTTTTCATTTTCGGAATAATTTGTGTTTAAGAATTATGAATCTTCGGAAAACAAGTCCCTCCCGCGATATTTACGGTTCACCTCCCTGTGCAAAAACATACATTAAACTATCAGATGCAGGAATTTCGACTCTTTAGTATAATTTCGACATCGTGTGAGAACATTTGCATGTCTCCATAAAAGGTGGACAGATTTGAGCCTGTTAATATACAAAAGAATGAATGAACGAAATGAATCCATTCATGAAATGAACCTGAGAAATTTGTTTCACATTTTAACCGTCCATAACTATGATCCGTGTACTTTAAACAACACGACAGATAAATCGCGATTAGATATGCCAAAATTGTTGCCAATAGGTTGTTAACCGTAAACAATGTACACATTGGACTGTCCATAGGTCCATGGTCAAAATCACGCTCAACGAAGGGGGGGGGGGGTGGTTAGGTTGGTGGGCAGGATGGGGTATGGTACCTGTCATGAAGCTCAACCTCGGCTGCACACTACTATGTGTGTACTTATACAATATTGAACTTTTTAGTGTTCGTTGTCTAATATTACAGATATATACGCTTAAATTATGTTTGTTTGCCTCCGTAAATCAACACATTTTTTTGTTTATTTATGACTTTTAATTACGCTCCCATATTATAAACAATATCATACAGTGAATTTAATCTCCTTGGTATAAATTTGCTTACCAATATCATTGTTATCAAATTGTGTTACTCATCTTTGTTTTTAATCTAACTGAATAAAAGTTTAACATGAAGAAATCACTTTGTTTCATGCCCAGGAGCGGTTCTAAAAGAATAATATAATTATTTTGTATTAAACATATTATAGGCCTATATGTAATATATATTGTGGGGGCGGGGGGCTTGGGGCTCTTGCATTCATTTATGCATGTACCTCGAAATTTCTTTTGGAGGGGCTCATTTAGCCCCCTCCTCCCTCCCCCACCCCTCAACCCCTCGACAATAATACTCTATCGATATACGTGTAAAGCTTAAATACTAATTGGTTAATTATATAGGCATGGATTGGGTAGCAGAGAATGGTGAGCGTCCAGCTATCGTATCTATGTCTCTCGGAGGTAGTGGATCTTATGCTGAAGATGAAGTCTTGACAAATCTCGACGCGTCTGGGGTACTTGTGGTCGTAGCGGCTGGCAACAGCGACTACGAAGCCTGCCGACGATCGCCAGCGAGGTCACGTGAGGTATGACTTTTGTTTCATGTTTGAATATTGACCTCACATTCTTCATATAATATCAAATTATTGATGGAAGATATTTAAAAGGGATGTACAAGTACATTTTCCCTAAAAAACATTATTTATTCATTGTATATCAACGTGCAAATGAACACGGCAAACATGAATAGTGTTACCTTTCTTTGGTAAGTAAATGATACATCGTCAATATTAAATGAATATCAATTTACTCTCCCTCTCTTTCTCTCACGCCAACATCTCTCTCTCTCTCTCTCTCTCTCTCTACCTCTCTCTCTTGCTCTCTCAACTATCTGTGTCCCCTCTCCCTATATTTGTTTCTCTTCCTGTTTTATTCTCGCTTTGTTTTAACTACATCATGTAGAACGAAGTTTTGAAGAAGGATGTTGAAGGTCAATGATCTAACGCGAACTCATTTGAGGCTGTGTGGTTTGCGGACCGAAAAGTAGATTTAAAAAAATTAAAAAAAATTAACAAGGGGTGGTCCTTTTCTCAATACGCCTCATATAGGCTGGTTACTTTATTGTAAAGTTCTCCTGTTTTTTTTACCAGTCGGCATGACCATGATGACATGAATTTTAAATGGCATATAGCTCAATATGAAAGTTTCATTCTTGTTCTCACTTTCCACCAGGCCCTCACTGTCGGTGCTTCTGAAATCGACGACGCACGTGCATACTTTTCTAACTGGGGTGGGTGTGTCGACCTCTTTGCTCCTGGTCGTTACATCACAGCAGCATCGTGGCTTGGAGATGATCTCTATCGGTCAATCAGCGGCACCAGCATGGCTACGCCCCATGTTGCAGGTAAAGTGGTCAAACTAATGCTAGTGGTCACAACCCGCCTTACGTCTTTTTGATCGTGCGTGTCCGTAGCTGCAAGTCGGGTGGTAGGCCAACTCTACGATTCGCACGTCCTTCTTACGATCCTTCGAGGGCGCCTTTCACCCTCCTCAAAAACATACTTCCCTTAACTGCAAGAACCCTTGAAGTGAACTAATAACCCCCGTGCAGGTGCCTTGAAAATGCGGTGTAATGTCATACAGATCCATGCGGCCGCTTATATCACCGCAATTAAATAAACCGCACGATGATCGCAAGAAGCCTTTGCGAGGCTTGCAAAGAAGTTACATCTGATATACCCGCCAAGTACGTTAATCAAAAAACGTAGCCACACCCCGCCCCCCCCCCACTCAGTGTTATTTAGGGTACGCATATGCGTGTTCCAACCGACCCCCCCCCCCCCTTTTCAGCGAAAGTCCGGTGTGTAAAGTCAATACGGCTCGACCTTTTTCTTTTGTTACGAAAAGGACATTTTGGCAACACGCATGGGGTCCGTCCGTTCTCGGAGTGGGGGGGGGGGGGGGGGTGGGGCCGAGAGCCACACGCAGAGACTATTGGACACGCCGAAAAACCTGCAGACGATTGCGTGTTCTGGTGCCTTCAAAAAACGTGCAGACCCGTGCGTCCGACGCTATGAAATCCGTCGTACAGCAAACGCGGAGAGGTGCACGGTCGTTTGTGACCATATTATGAATACAGCCACAACATATTATAAATAACAAGCAGACGTCATGAGGTGGCGGTAACATTGGGCATTAACAGGTGTGGTTCTAGAAGAGAATAAAATTGGGGGGGGGTTAAAATATTTTTCCTTGAGGGGGTGCTTCAGCCCCAAGCTTCCCTCTATGACCACAACTGAGTATTACCTCTTTTTTATTTTTTTATTCTTCATTTTTTTTAATAGGAGTTGCAGCCGTTCACCTTGGGGTCAACCCGAATTATTCAACGAGAGAACTCCGTGATATCATCATGAACTCAGCAGCAAGGAATAAGATTGGTGACCCCCACGGTGCCCCCGATCTACTTCTTCAAATCCCGAGAGCCTAATTGATTGATCAAGAAATAGAAAAAGCCTTCAAAGCCTTCAAATCCCATGTAACTTGAGAAATACATGGATGCTGTGAAATAACCCCTTCATGAAATGAGAGTAGATTTCAGATTAAGTACGCAGATAGACGCATAATTTATAATAATAACAATTATTATCACAATAAGAAAAATAATGCGAAAGCATTGGCACTATGGAATCATGGATAAAAATGACAATGCGCTCTTTTAATTAAAGCAAGATAGAGATACATCTTACATGGTACAATTAAACTATCATGAGTTTATAGTTTGGAGCTTTTGGGATATTAAGTAATTTGATTATACACGTAACAGTAACCTTAAAATAGGCTAGTCCATGAATAGCTCGATATATTGTTCACATACCATTACAGGTCTACAGCTTTTCGGGGGTTAAAAGGTAGTTCATTCATGTTTGTGTGTACTTTGCAGGATATCATGTTTGTGTAAAACGAATGAACATTATAGTGACGTTTGTATTTAGGACTACCAACACAATCAATAATTGGATCGCTATAAAAACTAGCAAAATAAATTACATGTATAACAATTCATAAACGTTGTTTGGCATTATTTTGTCTCTGTTAATCAAATCACGCTCATCTACACGAAATTCATAACAATAAGGAAAAAGGGCATTTGACCGAAGTTGAGGATAGTGATGGTTATTGAGTATCCAAAAATTGATAAACAGGAGTGGAAACTTTCCAAATGGGGTTTTGGTTGAGCGTAGTTCATATTTAATCATTACCTCAGAGAAAGTTTCTGAAAGGTGTATGGTTTGCCCCTCGGCCATGTGGGCCTTCAATATTCAAATTTGGGGTAGGGCGTGGGGAGGGGTTGGTACGCCGGCTTCACCCTATTACGCTAGATCCATTGGTGTTTTTGCTAGTCATGATGGTGATTATAATAACAATGTGGATGATGATGAGGAGAAGGAATAGAAGGATGATGATGAGGAGGAGGAGAAAGAGGAGGAGGATGATGATGATGATTATGAGGATGATGATGAGGAGGAGAAGGATGATTAGGAGGAGGAGGAGGAGGATTATGATGATGAGGAGGAGGAAGAGGAGGAGGAGGAGGATTATGATGATGATGATGATGAGCTGGAGGAGGAGGAGGAGGAGGAGGAGGAGGAGGAGGAGGAGGAGAAGGAGGAGGAGGATGATGATGATGAGGATGATGAGGAGGAGGAGAAGGATGATGATGATGATGAGGAGGAGGAGGAGAAGTAAGAGAAGGATGATGATGATGATGATGATGATGATGATGACAATGGATGGGTTATCGTTCTGATAAGATGAAATAACAATGTCCTTTTACATAGCCATAGCCAAAATGACCATGCATTTTCCCGTTAATCATGGAATGCCCCGAAGTATACAGAATCTGTAACACGAAGTCTTTTTTTTCCCCATACTTTTCCCCTCCACAGGGATTTTATTGATTTTCATTTACAAAAAAATTAACAAACATATATTCAATGTAATTTATATTCATAACATGAATAAAATTGACTTCTCAAGATACAAATATTTTGTTGAACTGTCGAGTTAACAGAAGACATAGATATTTTCAATAATATATTTCTGATATTCATAACATGAATAAAATTGACTTCTCAAGATACAAATATTTTGTTGAACTGTCGAGTTAACAGAAGACATAGATATTTTCAATAATATATTTCTGATATTCATGAACAAAAACAATACAACAGACACTTATAATCGTTTCATTATTGGGCTATATACAATTACTTTGTTGTGACCACTGCTAATGATCTTTTAAAAATTGTTTAAAAAAATATTTAAAAAAAAAAAAAATACATCTTTATATATAAACAAATTCCTGAATTGAAACCATTTTCTTCGAATTCGAATCTGCAATAGCCTATGCTTTTCATTTTTCATGCTCTAATATTATCAAAGTCGGGCAATGTTTTCTTTATTTTGCAAGTATACACCATCTGTCGCACCACAATCAGTATACGATTCATTGCATAATTATTTGAACCTCTTAAACCAAATAATGATCTTGTAGTGAAAATATTATTCTATTTCCGGTTCCAGTATATATCCAGTGTTCCAACCTATCCCAAATATGTTTAACATGCGTACAATAACTGTTTCACTCTGTTCATTACAAAATGTACATTTTTTCTTGGGACTATATTAATTTTAAACAGTAACTAATTCGTATATCATATACGTTGCAAAACCTTAAACTGAAACCATCGTAAGCCCACATCAATGGTACAATTAAATCCAATGGAACAATATGTTTCCCAACTCTTGTCATTCAGGTCGAAAATGCATTTCCATTTAAGAAAACTTTTACTTTCTCCTTTTCATCTCTTTAATAAAATTCCATAGATATGTGAGCATCCTTTAATACGTTTCATAACCAATGCCATCGTATCTGTTAAAAGGATATGTGGCACCCTGTTAAAAAAAGTACAACCGCTAAACCCTTCTTTAATTGCATCGCATAATCCACGATAAAATAGAAAATTTATTTAATATTATACATATCTTGACTGTGACTGACGAGCACAATATAAAGATTTAAAGAACAAATGAGTTGTAAGAAAGGTAAGAAAAAGCTGACAAAGCCGATATGAATATATACACTCAGAAAAACAAAAAAGTGGACACAATTTATACTACCGGTAGTTAAGATTCTAAAATAGGTTTTTGATATACTATTATCTTTCATGTGTACACAAATTCATAAATTAATCATGTTTTGGCCTGCAAATGGGATATTGTACCTATAAGATGATATGCAATTAGTTTCATACCATGCATGAGTGAGCATGGCCAATTAATAACAAATGACTCTCTGATGGAATTTAATGATGCATCTGGCCATTTAAATGTTAATGAGCATTGCATGTATCCTATATGGCTCGTCCAAAATCTGGGTAAAAAGGAGATATCTTACCGTGCTTGACAAAACCATGATGTCATGAGACTACAGTTGACACCAAGAACTCAATCCTCCTCATTTTTTCGCATTCTTTGTTTTCATTATTAAACAAGAATGTTTCAAAGACTTGCTCTATTTTTGCAATTTTCTTAATCAGACATTCTAACGAATGTGCCCAACCAAGCGTGACAGTTCAAAACTTGATCTTTTTGTTGGTAGAGTATTAATTTTTCTTTAATTTGATATAACAAAATGATGTCTTATTATACTTAACTGAAGGTTTATATACAAAGTTTGAACAATGAAGAGTGCCCCTCCCCATTTTGTTTTCTTTGCTGAGTGTAGATATATAAGAATAAACAAGCCAAGCCGGCACTCATTATGACATTACAAGAATAATCATGAATACATTGTACAGTAATGATCCCTTTCCTTGCAATAATATTTCTTTACCCGAGTTACAACCAGAGACCTAAGTTTAGGCATGATTAATATCTAGGTAATTATTGGAAATCGAATGAATGTGAGGTAACATGTGATTTTTTTTTGTACGGGGGGGGGGGTGCGTACTGCTTAAGCCCGAAGCCCTCTCCCCTCCTAGAACTTTTTGTACTGTTTACACTATATTAATTGAACTGTGATTATTATCCGTCATTATTTAATCATTACCATGGAGTCCCAGTCTCGCTGGTATCCTCCAGTACTCATCTTATCCTCTCTATCGCTTTGATTTAATCCCCTCAAGAAAGCTACGACACTCTTCTTCAATTCCTCGGGCGCTGATTGGCGGAAATTCCTCACGTGAGTTATGAAATCGAGCATTCTGCCGCCCTTGATAGAGGCGGGGTCAAAGCACTGGGAGATATCAGAGGGCCATGATTGGTGGTGGAATTTATAGGGCGTGTCGGATCGGGCGTAAATCTCGCGGAGATGGGCGGAGCAGAGGTTGGTGGCGGGGCTTCCTTCGCACAGTTTGGGGTATCGATCCCATACGCGATAGATACCGGCTTCTTCTGCAAGAATACATAGGAAGAAGATGTCGCCGATTGAATATTTTCACGGACATAAATAGATATTGCTTTGACTCCATTTTGTCTTATTGAAGAGTATATAGCAGAATCCCTTCTCCCCTTGACTGGGCAATTTTGTAACCTCAGAATATGATTCCCTCTAAAAGCATAATTTCTCAGGGGGCACCTTTCGGTTCTCTGGACAGTGTTGAATCCGTCTACATCCTTCACACACCTGATAAAATTAATGTCCCATCCTGAAAATATGATTACATTAGGTTACTTGATTTCCTCAATAATAACCTCAGAACATAGTGGACTTCAACCCCTCAATATTAACAATAATAAACATTTTAAAAATACTGGGTAAGAAGATGGCGCTCAACATAAGGAAAGGTTGTGTCCAATCGACTTTGGGCAATGTCCAACTTAGTAATGTTTCGCTCAATGACCTTTCCAATACTCATTTATTACAAATGACTAGAATTGGCTACAGACTTTAATTTATACCTGAAAGAAGAATAACTAGGAGAGCTCCATGCTTGACAAGCCTGTCCCTCAGATAGGACTGTGCCTGCTGTAGGTCATTGACATAGTAGAGTGAATGAACAGCGTGGATAAGATGAAATCTTTCTTTATCCACACCCCTCGATCTCTCTTTCTCTTCCTCCAACTTTTGAAAGTCGTCAAAGGTCTCGTTTCGCCATTCAAACTCCACACCGTCGAACTTGGGTCGGTTGTCATTGATGAGGGCTTTGAATTCTTCCAGTGGTTCTTTGGCGGGTTCGACCACCGTGTAGTGGATACGGGGGTACCTTGCCACAAGTTGTTCTAGCATGCAGCTATCCACTTTACCTGAAGAGAAAGATTAACAATTTCGATAAGATTCTTAAAGATAACAAATAAAGATAAAATAATTTTTTTTTAAATAGTCAGAAAAATACTCGAATTCTCACGCATTTTCTGCTGAGCCCTGATAAATAGCTTCAGCCATGCAAAGCCATCTATACACATAGTTTGGCCATCTTGATTTCATTCGATCACAACATGGAGTATATTCTTTTGTTTAGTGCTTGCTCAACAAAGCAGTATAGTCGCCATATTGTTTCCAACTCGAAGTGGGTTGACCAAGCTCTGTGTAATTTAGGCATTATTCGCAAGTATTTAACCCACTCGGCCACAGAAAAAATAGTTCATGCCCTCATATCGTCTCGACTGGACTTTGGTAATGCACTTTTTTTTTCAGCTGCCACAATCTCAACTTTCACGGTTACAAAAATTACAAAATTCAGCAGCCCGTATTGTTACCCCTACCAGACGTACTTCTCACATTACTCCTGTTTTGTCTTCACTACATTGGTTACCTGTTGAATCTCGTATTGTATTTAAATTATTATTGCTTGTTTTTCACTGTATACATGGATCTGCCCCAGAGTACAATATTAATTTGTTAATGCTTTATAATCCTCTCAGACGCTTAAGATCTTCCGATTCTCAATTGCTTGTTGTTCCGAAAACTAAGAAATCATGGGGGGATCGGTCATTTGCACACGCTGGACCTTACCTATGGAATCAATTGCCACAACATATTCGTTATATTTCAAGTGTAGATTGCTTTAAACATGCCCTCAAAACTCATTTGTTCAAAGCGGCTTTTCAGTAGATTTAGTTTTACTTTCACATTGTCATGTTCATTTTTGTGTTTATTTTTTGTGTATTTTTGTGTACTTATATCTTTTCTTCTCCATGCGCCTCGGAGACATTATTCATGTGGAGCTGGCGCATTAAAAATACTCTATAATTATTATTATAGATGGCTTTGGCTTCAGGACTCCCGGAGCTCCCTTATGTGCCAACAAATTATTTAATATTGGTTGCACGAACTATGACATAAAAGTGTATTAGGAGGGAAATATAATCAGTTAACTATAGTTTTATGCACTTGTGTTACATAATTATGATAAATTTTGGCCCTATAATTGGTGTACCTGAGACATATTTGGCTATCAAAGCCTTATACCTACGATGCATTATTGTCTTTTGATACTGAAAAAAGGGAGATTTACTGTGGTCCTATCACCTCCGAAAATCATTTAAAGCAGTCCTCTTGACTGTCTAGAGTAGCTGATCATTTAGACCTTTTAGGGGGAACTTCAGGGCCCCTAGCTTGGTCTTCTGTGGATATATACCATACAATATTGTATTGTATTGTTCATAGTGGGTTCGCAACACAAAACGAACATTTTCAGCCAAAATATTTGTTCTGAAATGCATAAAAACAGTGATGGGCTACTAAAACATACAATCCGGGCACTTTGGGGACATTTAATATAAATTCAGTCGGTGCCATCGTTTTCAAAGCATAAAATTTGAATTGGGGATCCACACTATAGGAGAAAAAAGGTGAACACCGTTTCCATGTAGTTGGAGCCGTCTGTGCACATAATAACTACATACCCGCAACAAATTTGGTCTGCAGCCTTTTATTATTGTGTCTACATTCTATAGGCATTAAAGGCAACGTTGAATCTGAGATGCATGGCCCTACGTGTTATCAGAGACTGTGATATGGTGTATTTAAAATGATCACGAAGTGCCTCAAAAACAGGAAAAATCTTTGAGTTACCGGTTTAATCATACTTGTTTTCTCTAATAGACTGTAGTGTTATAAAAACCGATTGCCAAACATAAATTTGATTTCGATTTTCAATCATAAATATCTTGATAATCAGACAGGCGATCGGCTTGAAAAAATCATGAGGTTCCTGATTGACCTAAAGGTTTATAATTATCATTGCAGCATGGGCTGAATCCAGGATTTTGTTTCAGAATCTGAGACAAAGTTACCCAATCCCTTTAACCAATGTTTCAGCTGAATAACGACGAACTTCCCCAGGCACTATCATATTTGTTTAAGAAAGGAAATCAAGTTCACGCATGACTATCCTATCCGACAGGCGCTTTTCTGTCACCTTCCTGGCACGAGAATACGCTTTGCTCAAAATCCATGCCTATACGGGTCCCAAGTTCTGGAATTCTCTCGATTATGTGATCAACAGGTTTGTATGTGTTCATGTATTCAGAAGAAAATTGAAATGTCATTATCTGAATACGTATTGTCATTCCTGATTCCTGACAATATTGTCTCCAAGCAGTAGGCCTATTTGTGTTGATTACAATGGGTAATTAACGGTATGGCCATGCCAACTATGTACATATTCTACTCATATAATTGTTTCAATAAGCTTTTGTAGTTGTGAGTTTCGGTTCATGCATGTATCCCTGTTAATTACCCTTTCCCTGTTTTAGCGTGTCTTTGTATTTTATAAACCTACCTTTTGTAGTTTAAGAAGCCTATCCACAACAAGCTCTGATTTTCCATATGCTCCGCCACTATATCTCTCAAGTTAAACTGAAGGGCAATTTTCTGATTAATGGGTACCTATAATGTGTGTACATGTTTTCTGTAATCATTTGTCAACATGTTTATAAAATGAGATATTGTGGAAACCAGGGGCGGCGATCCCGGGGGACGGGGGGACACGTCCCCTCTCAACTTCTTTAGGGGGGATCGTCCCCCCAGAACAGTTGAAAGGTGTAAAACAAATTTACAGTCAGGAAAAAGTATGCTTATTTAGAAGCCTACATGTCAGGGCCCGCAGATCGGCGGGGCTCGGGGAGCCCCGCCCCCCCCCCCCCCGCCCCTCACTGTTTTTGAAAAAGTATTTTAAAGAGATATAGAAAGAAAGAAAGAAAGAATAGTGACCTGCCAGTGTCAAAAATGAGGTATCAAAATATGCTCATCTGACCGTAATTAAATGCATAAAACCCCTGAGCTTCCGGGGGCTCCGCCTCTTGACAACCGGCGGGGCTTTGCCCCTAGACCCCACGCAAATTTACGTTCCGATCGCTTCGCTCGCCAAGCTCTACCTGGTTATTTATACTCTCGCCCCCCCCCCCCCCCACTTTGAAAAACGTTCCGAGGGACATGCATAACATAAGAGTAGTGGTGATAAGGATTGTTTTTCTTCTCCCCCCCCCCAAATGATTTTGCTCATTACGCCACTGATCACTCGCATTTGCCCCCACCCCCCCCCCCCCCCCGGTCATGAAAAGAAATCGCCTCCCCTGGTGGAATTACCACTATCCATCTATTGCTATTAGGCCGCCCATTCATCTATGGAGTAACAAAGGTCAACTCTTTTTCACTGTGCTTCACTTACAAATAAGACGAGCGAACTTGTATTTGGAATGGTCATAAATTATACCAAACCAAATCGCGACTGTATTGTATTGTATGTATGTATTGTTGAGTATTGACTGTATTGTATGACGCACATCTATGTGTATGAAAGAAATGAATAGTCTACGCGACTATTCACTGGGTGCTCAAATCCTGCACACATAAAGACTTTTTATTCCACGTACGACGCATAATAACCTATTTTATGATATCACAATTTGGTTTTCTGTGTTCATCTTTCTTTACAAATATTGCAACATTAGTGAGATAACAGCTTGTAGGCAAATCGAACGATGTGTTACAAGACAGTGCAATATTTAAAAGGGGAAAAAGATATGATATAGCAAACGAACCATCACCGCTACCGACTGCCAGCACACGAATAATTTCATCACTTGGAAACTTCGAAGTGAAATGGCTGACGACATGATCCTCAAATATGATCCTGGCCCAGTCCTTGTAAATGTTCACTTTGAGCCCTGAAAATTCAGCATAGGCCTGGTAAGCCTCAAGATAATCATCCAAATCTTCAACCAACTTCGGAAGGTTTTCGAAACATGATTCGGGGACACCGTTATCTGCCATGATTTCAGTTTGTCCACGGACTACTAAATTAAGGATCAGTGTTTGCCTTTAATACGAAGAGCAGAGGTTAACTCTATTGAAGATAACGTACGTGAACAATGATCCAGAGTTCCGGGGGAAAAAAAAAGGGGGGGGGCATAATTCCTGAAAAATCTAGAACATCCCCCCCCCCTTCCAAGAGTGCTTTTTAATAAATTGTTTTAATCTGCATTTTCCCCTTGAGTATTGATAGAAATATCAGTCAATTCATACCAATATTGAGATATCACTGTATCCAGGAAAATCGGTGTTATTAGGAGACTTTAAAAAAAAATGTCCATTGGGAACATTATGACTAAAAATGATGTGCTCCACATGAAGAATATTATTACATCTGCTCAGGCGCGTACACAGGGGGGGGGGGGGGGGGGGGGGGGGGGGGGGGGGGGGGGGGGGGTTGGGGGTTTAAACCCCCCTCCCTTTGGATTTTTTTTGTGTGTAAACCCCCCCTCCCATAACCCCCATAAACCCCCCCCCACCCCCCCCCCCCCACCCCCCCCCCCCCCCTTGAAAAAATCATGCGTACGCGCCTGCATCTGCTGGGTTCATCCACTGGCATGTCCAGGGTCCAACACACAACCTGTGTCAGGTGTACGTCACACTTTAGACTTTTCAATTCCAACTCCCTGGTATACAACGTTTCGTTGAAGATCAGCCATAGACGAAAGACTTCATGCATGGCTAATTGTCAATTCTGTTTGTTGCTACGGCAGGCAGCCAGTAAAAACGAATTCGTTTAATAAAATTATGGAAATGCAAGCATTACTTTAAACAAACAGAACCTTGTTATTTCTAGCTCATTTTTCCTGATTGAGGTGTCATATGAATTTTCTCTCTGAAATTCAGATACCGTCCGCCAAATGACTTTTTGGTATCCTTTTTTCAAATTGATTTGTTATCATTCATGCGTAAATTATGCATCATGTGAGTTGCATCAAATATAAGAAGAGGATATAAGCTTTACAAATATGTGTCATTTATTAATTTTAATTGTGAGTAAGTTATGATGAAACATCGATAATTCTCGGTATCGTTTTTTTCTGGGACGCACTGTATATCTCCGGATGGTCTTCCCAAGTTGACATTAGGGACTTTTAGATTTGCACGTCAACAGCCTTGACTGCAACGTGTGACGTCATTTTAAGGCACTGCGCATGCGTCACGTCGTCTCAGTCGGCGATCGAGAATGCGTCAACCTTGATTTTCCTAAATCTAGTTCGGTACTAGTATGCCGCGTGCGCATAAAATATTCAGTTCCTCAGGTAGACAAAAGAACATCCCTTCCTGCTATTATGTAAAATGTGTAGAACAGGTGTCACATGCATATTAACCTGTTCTACACATTTTTACATAATAGCAGTGAAGGGATGGTCTACCACAGCAATTGTTGAGGGTAGAATAAGGAACTGTATATTTTGTCCTCTTTCTTTGTTTGTCATATTCATAGTGTTACTCCCTGCATGCACGTATATCGTCGAATGCAATCTAAAAGATTTCTAATTGTAGTCAACATGGGCAGTTGAGTACGTTGACACGCATGATCAGTCGGCGTTCGTCGTGTTCTTGTCCACTCAATCTAAAAGTCCCTATTGCCGGCAAATTGTCAAATCCCATAACCTTAGAATTTGGACTTCCCCAGAAATCAATAGAAGGACACATATGATACTCAATCTATGCTCTTCCCATTGCCTTACAAATGCCAGGAGAGCAGATTTAATTGCTAATTTAGAGATATTATCCCGAACAGAAACTTTGTTGGTTTTTTAAAATTCATTTAGGATGTTTTTCAGTCGTTGCGTTTATGTATGTTTTACACAGAAGTCACGTATGCATGTGTATGTATTTCAAAGAGATCAACAGAGCTTGATCCAGGGTCCCTGAAAGGATCTATTATTGTTTGCCTTATGAATGAGAAGGAGGGCAGAGGTGAACTGTATTGACGATAATGTACATGTATGCTACACAGAAGTCATTTATATTTGAGGCCTGCATGTACTTCATAGAGGCTTTTCACGCCGGTGTGACGGCGTTTAGTGTGACTGGCGGATCGTGTTCGCGGAACAAAATCCGCCGGCAGATATTGTTCCCGTCACAAAATCTGCCGGTGTGGTAGGCGATTTGTTCCGGGTTCCGCGGAACAAATCGGCGCGCCGATTTGTTCCTCGGAACGAATCTACTGGATCGACTCGTTTGCAGATACGTTCGAAAGCCGCCGTTCTTATCCGACATTGGCCGAACGTTTCTGCTTATATAATCGCGTATATTTTTATTACTTGTGTCGAATAAACATGGTAAAAATAAATTTTAGCTTTATCTTGATACTTTTGTATTTATTGTTGCAATGAAAACCAATATTATTTTTTTTGAAATATTACTTAATAATAAGGTTTATAACCTCGTACGGAATTACCCGCGCGCGGTACGAAAAATAAATAAATAAATAACCTAGACTACTGACTAAACCCTAACTAGATCTAGGCCAAGCTAGATTCTAGGCCTTAAGTCACTGCGTGGCGTACTGATTGGGGGGGGGGGGGGAGTTGACCCAAATAACATTTAAAACGTGGTTTATTTCTAATTCGATACCAGTGATTTACAAATGAAGAGCTTGATTCCAAAAGAAGCTAAATCCATATTTTGTTAAAAATTGAGTTAGACCTAGATCTAGATCTAGACCTAGAGTCTATCTGTCTTAAAATAATGATTTCCTACTTGGGGACAAAATGCACTAGACCCTAGATCTAGTCTAGTCTAGACCTAGTAGAAACACATTCGAAAATTTCAGCAGGAATTATGAACAAATTTAGATGGAGTCTACAATAGATCTATCATGTTTCATTCCAAAAGGAGCTAAATCCAAATTGGTTTCATTCCAAAAGGAGCTAGAAGTCTAAATCCACTTTGGGTAATTCTGAGTAGAATCTAGACTTTAGACCTCTAGGATCTAGATCTAGATCTAAATCACCTTTTTATTTAGGCCTAGATCTATCCACTTTCCCTTAAGCCATGCACCTTCATGTTGTTATTGGTCTAGATCTATATGTTAAAGGTGTCGCCCTGGACCAATAATATAGATCTAGACCTAGGTCTAGATCTAGATCTATGATAAGAAAAGTAATTAGGTCTAGGGTCTAAAGTTGTTTCTGATTTTTACTAAATTTTAGATTTTGTGGATTTAGCTCCTTTTGGAATGAAACATGGATGGATGAAACAAATTATGCCAGAGACGGCACTCCCAGTGGGGGGGGGGGGGTGGCAATTTGTCTTTGCCCCCTACTTTTTTAGGTACCCCCAAAGTGTCCTTTTCCTCTCTTTTCATCTCTGATAACAGATGAGTAGATCTAGTCTAGAGAGTCTACCTCTTTTCAGGTGCAAGAATTTCACCTCTGATATTTTTGCCCCTTTTTTTTATACTGACTCGTGCCCCTTTTCCTTTTTAATAAGTGCAATTTTTCTCTTCTCTTTGTCTTAAATGCCACTTTAACCTCTGATAAGTGCCTCTTTTATTGTGACCCCTTTGCCTTTGACAAGTGCCCCTTTTTTCTTTTTTATATGAGCCCCTCCCCTTTTCAAAATGCCCCTTTTAATATCTGATAACTGCCCCTATTAAAATTCTGATAGGTGCCCTTTTCATTCAAAATATTCCCCTTTACTTGAGGAATTTTCTTTCTCTTCTTTTCTTCTTTTTTTTTTTTTATTGGTCCTTCTTAATTATCAGCTCGACCACTCATTTCTTTTTTGTTGACCCCGCCCCCCCCCCACCCCACCCCGCATCTCTTTCATTTAAACTACATGTACATCATGCATGCAGCCCACATGCATAATTAGATTCTGTGATGAAGCCCGGTAATAGGTGGTTGACGTAACACGATATCATATAAAGCAGCATTCAAACCAAATTAGAAGGCCTGATTAGAAAACACCCCGACATCTGCTTTTACAGGCAAACTAAGCCTATGGCAACAACTGCCCTTTTTGCTAGACCACCCAGTCACCGTCGCTTCGCGACGGCGCTGTCTATAGTTACTGTTTGTGGTCAATCATTGGCCGCAATTATCAACATATTTGAACAACAATTAACGGGAATCTGCATTTCTATACAAAGTTCTCAAATTGGCAATCGTTGGTGTAGCTAATTTGGAGAAGTTTGATTGGTTGCAAAGGCCGACCAGAATAGTTCATTTTGCTTTAGGGGTGTACCATGGCGTGTATTCAATAATACGTGAGCACGCACGCTCTCCGATGAGATTCGGAACGGATCGCCTGGCCGGAACCGATCGCCTGTGACTAGCGGAACGAATCTACGAATCCGGAACAAATCGGCGGGTACATATCCAGGCGATCGGTTCCGGAGGAACCGATCGCCTGCACGGAACAAATCGCCTATGACACCGGCAGATATTGTAACCCACCACGCAGAGTGGCTGGCAGATAGTGTTCCGTTTTGCAGCTATCGTTCCATTCTGAAGGTATCGATTTTATGAGTGGTATACGGTCTCCGCTTGCTGCATGCATGCATGCTGGCTAGGCTGCGTGCGATTGCAATTGCATGTGTACCGTAGTACTATACTGTATACCACCATGGATGCTGAGTGCGAGTACTAGTTCGAGCAAGAGGCCGCTCTTATTAAGAGTTTTCTCTTAAAAGAGGAATTAAAATAGGAATTGTTGTGTAAAATTGCTTGGAGGACCCCTTCGACCATTGATCGAGTAGTATTAATAACCTTCCACAACAGGCATGTGTTTAAGTGTGTTTGCACCCGTTTATTGTGGACTTGTGTAGTGAAAGAATGTGTGACTTCAAGTTTTAGTTAAGAGGTGTTGTACGGGAAATTAAGCACCAACACTAGGTTTAACACCGTACTTCAAATCAGTTTATTTAAAGGTAATATCTTAGTTAAGGGAAAGGAATATATCATCTCTAGTTATACTTATTTCATTCAAGCACTATTTATTTTCATTGTATTTATCACCAGGATCTTCATTGTAACAGTATATTCCAGA